ACACACACACACACACACACACACACACACACACACACACACACACAACAACAACAACAACAACAACAACAACAACAACAACAACAACAACAACAACAACAACAACAACACTTCCCTAGTGGCAGTCAGCCCTTAAATGAGGTCTAAGAGAGGTGGAGCCAGGCTCCACCCCTTCTGATTGCACAGGTGAATTGCCTTCACCTGTGCTTCCAGAGCTGATCATGTCTTATCCCTAGGTGCTTAATCAGCGGATCAGGCTGTAAGTCAAGAGTTTCCATACAGTGACTAAAAACTTTTTATCTGTAGTTCATAATTGATTGAGATCTGTTTTGTGTATTTGTAACTCCAGTGTGCGTACAGTTTTGCTGTTAGTATTCAATATAAACATTATTGAATTAATAAAGAATTTTTTCTCCTTCTCTTTGCTTCTTCCCCACACCAAAACAAACAAAAAAAAATTCAAAGCTGAACTGCTACAGTGCACACAAGCCTCTATCCTTATTGAAATGTGAAATGAGTGACCTTTGTTTCCTGTCCCAGTTTCCCATTTCCTACCACTTCAGGAAGTTGCCTGGAATGTAAAACTGAGCCAAGCTGAAGTTTTTCATAAATGTTTAAGGCAACTGTATTACAGCACCCAAGGACTGAAATAAGCTGAGAATTCAGATCCTGATTCTAGAGGAATGACTGCCTTGAAACTCAAACATGTGCAAATATACAAATTGTATCTACATGTCTTATGCAGGATGTTGTTTGTATTTCCTTTAAATATATCTGAAAATTGAATTAGCACCAAGAAAATTTCAATGAATTTGATCTTATTTATTTAATTAATGCAGAATTTGTTACCGCATGAGGAGGGTTGGAACTAGATGATCTTTAAGGTCCCTTCCAAACTAAGCCATTCTATGACAAGATCTTTAAAGAGGTTTTTAAGATGCTCAAACTTGATGTTGTTTCTTCACTTATGTATACTTTTTTTACTCGATCTGAGGGCTTTTGATGGTGTTTATGGACAGCTTACTGCAAAGGCACCATTTGGAAATCCAGGAAACGAGCTCAAGGAGCTAGAGGTAGCTATTTGCAGGAAGCCCGCTCAAGGTGATTGTGGACATTCACATGATCTACACATATTTATGCAGCTCACCACGCCTTGCCTCCTTCTCTTTGCCACTGACACCCTACTCTTGTATTCAAGACTCATATCTGAATCTCACTTTGGCATTGATAGCTAATCTTTACTACTTATGTTCGATAAGCTTTGTGCTTCTGCTTCTGTAGCAGGAGGCCAGACTACAACCACGGTACTATTCAGTCTACAAAGTATTGGTTTGCTTGGTCTACAAAGAGATTGATTTCATCTACTGTGTATGTTTGTTGGGCAGGTGGTGATTGGGGAGGTACAGGATAAGACTTAAGGGCCCTTCCAAGTTCAGGATGTGCTAAGCTGTGGCATCCAGACTTCAGACTAGGAATTGTTAATGTTGTACTCGAGCATTTATTTCCATATGTGCTGTTGCTCACCTCTGACTCTAAAATAGTATTAATAAATGGAGGGAGTCTGTGTTCAGACAGCTAGATATGGAACATAACCTGTGCCAAAAAAAAACGACTGGAAACAACAGGTGTAGGTTGCATTGAAAATGGTGATTGACCTTGACCATATATGAGGGCTTAACTATATCAAATGAGAAAAAGATGGGTGGAATCCAGTTTACCACAATGAATTTTATAAAAATGTTCAAAATAACTAATTTTTTGTCATTGTATTTCCCATGATTTTCCCTTTAAATTCTCCCTTGAATTTTGCCATATCTATATTTAGTGTGCTTATTGTACATAGTGAATCAAAGATGTAGTTGTTCTTGTTCACTTTTATTTAATAACCTTATTTAATCAAGTTTCCTCTTGCTGACTTCCTTCTGAAGTTACTCTACTTCTGTAAATCTCTCACATGATAAAGACACAATTTGAATTTAATTCCGAAGGCTTTACGTTTGTTTCTGCTGTTTGGTAATAAGTAATTAAATGTTTAATCTCTTAGACGTTTTAGACACGATTCTAAGGTGATTGTAGAGATCAGTTGGCTTTGACCACCTTCACTAAAGAGAGTGATATTTTGTCTTTAATACGTAGAAAGAGACATTTGCCCAGTATCCCAACTTTAAAGAAAGCCAGTGATAAGAACTGGTGTTTTTTAATAGCACATCAGAATTACCATAATAAATAGTGCTTATGCATCACAACTCATTAAACAATACCCTGACCGTTAATGAATAAAAGCAACTGTTAGGTGCTTGTATAATCAAAGAATATTACGATGTTATAATCACAAAATACAGGTGCCTTCACCTGTGCTCCTCTGGCTGACTCATGGCCCACCTCAGGTGATTAATCAGAGGTTCAGGCCATGACTCAGCAGTTACCAAACACTCCACCCCTTCACAGCATGAACCAATGACCAGGTTAACTAAAGGGTAAGCTTTCCCTAACACAGAGATCCGGTATATCGCGACGCTTATACAATTTTTATCACGACGCTTGTTGGTACAATTCAAGACAAGTGATGACCAGTGAATGTCCATATTCATCTATGGGACAGCGCTCGATGATGTGACTGGAGGCATGAGGTGCTGAGGTGCAGGTCCGTTCTATGTTCCATCAGTCCCATGCAGACCATCACGAGGCGTTGTACGTGATCTGACAGCAACACTGGAACGCTTGATGGCATCTTGTTCCTTCCGGTGGTCCTGAAGGCTCACAGGCTCACGGGGAGTAATACAGATGTTTCAGAGCTACCAGGAGGGGAAGGTCTGCTCTCCAGGGCAAGATACAGGCCCTATTTCTATCCTGGGTCAACACTCCTGCTTGTACAGGCAGCCAGGATGTGCCCCAGTACCACACCTTCTGGCCAGATGTCTGCGGCTGCATAATGATATCAGGCACCAAAGGAGGTGTCCTGATCTGCCACAGGGACACGATGGGGGTCCCTTTAGCAATGAAGACTGGAGTGTTGACCACAATATCAGTAGGCCATGGACCTATTACTGGAGGGACTACTGAGCCTCCCACCTCCAATAGTCTCCCCCAAGGTGCAAGTAGGCCACACCACTTGGGTCCTACCTGCACCTTCCAGGGCCATTTTATTTTATGGGTACCCGGCTCTAAATTCTCAGGGGCAGGGAGCAGAAGATTATTTTCGTTACCAATCTGGGGTCTTACCTGATGATCAGTGCCCGTAATTTGGATCCTAAGCGGGGTGGCCCATGTTGTCTGCAACATTCTCAGGGCACTGGGTCTGCTGTCCCGAGGTCTTTCATTCAGGTCCCGCAGGGTTTCATAGTCTTTTCGTCCACCCCTGCAAGGACTGGGAGTCTGTCTTCAGGGCAGCCTTAAGAATACCATTATAACGTTCAATGAGGCCTGCCCCCGCTGGATTATACAGGAGGTGGAATCGCCATTCAATGTTATTTTCTTCTGCCCAGCGCTGTATCGTTGCACCAGTAAAATGAGTCCCTTGGTCGCTCTCGATGACCTGAGGTGTGCTGTAGGCAGACATTAGTTTAGCGAGTGCCTTGATGGTATATGCCTGGTTTGCTCTCGGTACTGGATAGGCCTGCATCAGCCCACTTGCAGTGTCCACGCAGATCAGGGCGTATCTTACCCCCTCAGAGCGAGGAAGGGGCCTGATGTAATTGACCTGCCATCGCTGGAGAGGATTGTGTCCTCTAGCAAGATGGGCTGTTGTTTCGGGCAACCATCTCGGTCTCATCTTGGAGCAAGCGTTGTAATCCTAGCATGCCTGGACGATATCAGATAGTTGTATGGGCAGTCCCCATGCTTTAGCAGCTGCCCACATTGTCTTTTGTGCAGCATGCCATAGCTTCTGATGTAACCAGCAGGCCATGGTCTCAGATGGTGAATTCTCAATCCATCGAACTCGGGCCAGTGTGTCGGCTTCATCGTTTCCCGGTGACTGTAGGGGCTGATGACCAGAAACATGGTAGACACGTACAGTCCTGTGTTGGACCGTATTCCATATATCTAACCACATGTCTTCGCCACAGATCGGTTAGGCGTGGATAGTCCATTCCTGGGTGGCCCACTGTGCAATCCAAAGAGTGAGCCCCCGGTACACAGCCCAACTATCTGTGCAGATGTTCAGGATACCATCACCGGGTTCCTTGGTTATAACCATCCGCACGGCTCGCAGTTCTGCCCATTGGCTGCTCTGACCATCCCCCTCGTCAAACCAGATTGTCTCGGTGGAAGGATGGTATGCTATTGCTCTCCACTTGCTCGGGTTGCCCTTGCTGAAGCCATCTGTGGACCAGGCATCTTCAGGGATAAGATATTTTCCCTACTGAACGGGACTCTTCTCTGGTGGAGTGACCAGTATTTCTTTTGGTGCATCTCTGTGATACATCACTGGGCCTAGAATCTTCTGCAGTTTTCTATCAAGGGTGATGAAGACAGACTGCTCCTTTGGCCGAGATAGGCGACCCATCATGCCACTGTTTCTGCTTGGGCCACCCCTGTCTTAGGAAGGTGGGTCAGATCTTTCACCCACCCCTGAATCGGCAGAGTGGTCTTGACTATAACTGCAGCTGTTTGAGTTATTGGCTCTACTGCCTGTAATGCCGAATAGGCAGCCAATAACTGTTTTGTCAATCATACTGTATCTTTCTTCTGCTCCGTGCCAAACCTGAGACCAGAAAACAATGGGGGTCCGAACAGAGCTCTGGCTTTGCCACAGGCCCCAACCGAAGCCTTTTTGAGTAACATAAACATCCAACTCGGCTGGGAGGGTAGGATCGAATATACCCAATGCCTGGGCTTGTTTAACTGCCAGTTTTGCTTGTTGGAAAGCATCCTGTTCTGTTTTCCCCCAGTCCCATAGCTGCCCCTTTTTTGTGAGTCTGTATAGTGGCCTTAGCAGCTGCGCTAGGTGAGGTATAAAGGAACACCAGTAACCCAATATACCTAGAAACTCTTGCAGCTGCTTCGATGTTGTAGGGACTGGGAACACCTGAACCTTATCTATAACAGCACTGGGTAGCACTATGGTCTTTCCTGACCAAACCACCCCCAGGAAATTTTACGGACAGGCCCAGACCTTGCACCTTTTGGGGATTTATAGCCCATCCCCTCTGTTGTAAATAGGCGGTTAATCAATCTGCTGCCTGTCCTACTGCCTCCAGTGAGTCGGATGTCAACAGGAGATCATCAATATAATGATATAGGTTAACATCATCAGGTTTTCTCCAATCAGCCAGGTCACGCGCCACTAGATTGTGACAACACGTTGGTGAACGCACGTACCCCTGTGGCAGGACCTGAAAGGTCCACTGCCTGCCTCCCCACGTAAACGCAAACTGATCTTGCGATTCCTCAGCAATTGGGATACTGAAGAACGCATTTGCTAGATCTAGGACACAATGATAGGTTTTTATCTCCCTACTCAATGTGTCCATTAGGGAGGCAATATTGTGTACGGCTGCATGAATAGGCAGCGTGACCTTAATTAATTATCAGTAATCTACTGTCATTCTCCATGTGCCGTCCAACTTTCGCACTGGCCATATGGGGGAGTTATATGGGCTGTGTGCAGGTCTTATAATGTTCACTTTTTCTAATTCCTGCACCGTTCTCGATATTCCATCTTGCCCACCCGGGAGTCTATACTGTCTGACGTTAGTAATCCGGCGCGGTTTTGGCAGGCAAACAGGCCCATGTATCGCATGGCCTCTTAATATTGCCTGCACCGCCCGGATACTGATACTTCTCCGTCGAAGTCTGAACTCTCCCACAGTTCTCTGGAGGGCCAGACCCCATAGAATATCTATGCCCAGGATGTATTCTTGGACTGGGGCAATAGACACCTTGTACTCCCGGGGTGGGAGACACCCAACCCCTAATTTTAACCATGTTTGGGTGACAGGAATAGTCTGTCCCCCAAAACCACCAATCATCACTCTGTCCCCATCAAATTTCGTCAGATCTCCGTAGATAATTGATGTTTCTGCTCCAGTGTCCACTAATGCCATAACTCTGAATATTTTTTTCGGGACCAAGAAATCATTAATTCTACTTACGGCCTCCGGTCCCATCCGGAGGCCCTATGGGGACTAACATCCCTCGTTACACCATGAATTGTGCTAGGGCCAATTCTTTTGCTTCTGGTGGCTCAGGCATTGTGGCCCAAGAAACCTGAGGCAGCTTTTTTTTTTTTTTTTTCCCCCCCCTATTTGAACAACGGAATCTTCTAGGTTCCATCTTGTTGTTGGTACCCTCTCTATAACCCTACCCTAAGAAATCAAGGGTGAGTTCTGGCATTTTTGATTGTCCTTCAGTTGTCTCCAGAGCTGGAGAAAGACATAGTTGGGCTGGCGGTCAATCTTAGCAAATTGGACCCCAGCCCAAATTAAATTATTAATCATTTGTTTATGGGAGACCCTTATGGGTACTGATAGAGGAGCTCCAGTAGCCGGCATTTTGGCTTTACTGACCAGCAGGACCTCTGCTTCTTCCAACATCCGAATACTGCGCCTAGTCCACAGGTGTTCTGTTTCTCCCAGGTCAGCCGCTATCTGGGCAGCCTACTGGACTACAGCTTCTGAGGCCACCAGGGGATTTAATATAGAGACTAGGGTACTGTATAACCAAGATGTTATAATTTTGTATAACCAAGATGTTATAATTACAATATAATCAAGAGAGTAAGGCAAACAGACAATGATCACAAAAGAGAATAAGTGGAAGAGCTTACCCTTGGGTTGAGCTCACCAGAAGATACCAAAAGAGGGGATCTCCAGAAGAGATCCTTCCCCTCTGGTAGCCAGCTCTTAAATAGGTCCAGGAGGGGTGGAGCCTGGCTCCCCCCCTTCCGGCAGCACAGGTGAATTGCTTTCACCTGTGCTCCTCTGGCTGACTCAAGGCTCACCTCAGCTGATTAATCAGAGGTTCAGGCCGTGACTCAGCAGTTCCCATACAGGTACCATACAGATGAGAGGGAGCTTGCTGTAGAATCAAGTCTTTCATCCCTGCTGAAAATTTGACCATATCAGGACCATCAAATGTGTCTTCATAGATAGCCTCCCTTACACCCAGTTCGCGGACATAATTCTGAAGGTCCTCCATGGAGGACCACAACCCTGTATGTAGAGGTATGCCCGATTTATGCAGCCATACCATACGGCAGGCTGCCGTTAACCATTCTAGTATAGAATGGTTTTCATCAAGGTATTGCTTACCCGCATATAACCTCTGTCTGAGAGCAGGATGGACAGTCATGGTGGCCAACTCAGCTATTTCTGGGCCATCCACCAAGACACTTTCTGCCCCAGAATCCCACAGTCTTAATAACCAACCCCGCACACTTTGTCTAGGCTTCTGCCGAAATCGCTGTACTAAATCCACCAGTTCTGTTGCCGTGTATGGCCAGGCCGTTCCATGTAAATGAGTCTGGGTAGGGGGCCACTGATCAGGCGGCACCCCTGCAGGTCGGTCCTGCACTTTTTTTGTTTTCTGGGTTATGACAGGATGGACTTCTAGTAAGATTGGTCAAAATTGGATATTCAAGATCTAATTTGGATTTTTTATTTTCCTCATCAACCAAGTCTGTTGATTCACGAGTCTGGTCATCGTTTACTGAAATGTTATGAACTTCGACTATGGGAAGACGTAGAATGGGCTTCTTCCCCGTTAATACACCAAGTTCTTGCTCTAGTTTTTCCAATAGTCTTTCAAAAGTTGATTTTTGTTCTCTAAAATATTATTTCTTATTTCCACATGATTTAGGGCACTTAATAGTGGCCATGCCACCGTGGAGACAACCAGCTATCTTTCTTCAGTAACGAGCACATCCTTGCTAAGTCCCTGAAAGTAATCCAACATGCAATATGGGGAAATATTGCCCGTAACGCATAAGGGACCCGATTTTCTCAATGATATCCGCTCGCTCATAATAGGGGGATCCCACAAATCCTGGGATCTGCCCTGGAATCTTTTACTCTAGAGGAGTATTGTTCTCCCCCTTGACCCATTTATAGAAATTCCAAAGAAAAGACATGATGTAAATTTGAGTATATTTGGCCTGCCTGGCTCACCAAGTGTATAATCAAAGAATATTCAGACATTGTAATAACAAAATAAACAAGACAGTTAGGCAAAGTAGACTACAAAACCAAAAGAGATCAAGTGGAAGGCTTACCCTTATGCTGGGCACCACAAAACACCAGAAGAGGCCATCTCCAAAATAGATCCTTCCCCACTAGTAGCCAGCTCTTAAATAGGTCTAGGAGAGGTGGAGCCAGGCTCCACCCCTTCCGGCAGCACAGGTGAATTGCCTTCACCTGTGCTCCTCTGGCTGACTCATGACTCCCCTCAGGTGCTCAATCAGAGGTTCAGGCCATGACTCAGCAGTTCCAATACAGTGTTAAAGAAAAATAGATATGGTAACACAACTGAAAATTACCTTTTCAATCTTACAACTTTTAAAATGTGATAAGGTGTCTGTTCTGATGGTTTTACTGCATGAAGACAGCTCCTATATTTTTTGTAAAATTACCAGATGTTTTTTCATTTGTAGTTCTACTAAATGTGAAAGCTGTTGTTCACAATTACAAAATTATTGCTCGTAATGGAAGTATCTTTATTACATGGAGCAAGTAAAGGTTGTTGTCACGGAGTTGACCAGATCAATCTATGTCCGTGACAGGGGCGACAGGCCTCTGCCCTCCCCCCCCACCCCAGTCCCACAAAAATGGGAAGGAAGGAAGGAAGGGAGGAAAAGAGGAGCGGCGACAATCTATGGAGGAAAACTTATTTTACTATAATATCGGAATACAAGATAACACAATATATACAATTTAATTGAAATTGAGATTAATAAATCAGACAAGATGAGAGAGAGAGAGTTCCCGGGACCGATTCAAACCTGAAAAGCTTGGAACGGCTAGGAAAGCACCCTCCAGCACCCACTGCCAGGCAGCAAGAGAGCGCCCCCCCCCCCCCCGGAAGGGCCAGATCCCGTGACTGCTGTAATGTACAGGGATAGGTACTTGGAATTGGGGCAGTGACACTTTAATGCCCCATACACTACATGATGTTTTGATGTGGAATACTGAAACCCAAAAACAAAACAAAAAAAAAACATAGAACCATGACAGTTGTCCATTAATTATGTAATGCGTGAGCAACTGATGGGTACACGGATGATTCATTTTACATCATCAGGCAGATAATGGATTGGAGCTTCTGCTGGAACGAAATCCAGTGTAATGACATTCTAATTTGGTGTTCAGATATCACGCAGAACTTACAAGGACTTGAGGACTAAACCCCAAATGCTCAATCTTACAAGTTTCCCATCTGTTTAAACAATAAATAGATATTTTCTGTTTGACAGAAACACCACCTCCAGGATATATCAGTGAAGATGGAGAAACGAGTGACCAGCAGTTGAACCAAAGCATGGATACAGGTAACATTTCATTTTTCACCACTTTGTAGACTTGGGATTGCTTGTTGTGATCCCTTTACTTATAGTGGTATGCTTTCAGCCCAAGTGATGACAGCAGCAGCCCTCTGTACAACCTGTTGTGTTGCATTTCAAATTAATTCTTGTTAGGAAGGCTCTATTGAAGGACCTTCTCACTGGAGAAGTGCATAAATAAAGAAATGTTCACAGACTCTGCATGTAGAGATCTCTGCCAAATGCCCTGCTGAGGTGTTAATAGGCTCTTTACAAGGAGAGGTAGGTTCCCAGGAGTCTGGAAAATTAAATGTGATCTGAATTCTGAATAAAGATGAGACACGCTGGAAAACTTGTTCTAGGTTTTCTGAGATTTCTTAGTCCAAAGAACATTAAGATGAAGCTAGTACCTAAATTAACAGTCATACTTATCTGTCTGAAATAACAAGAATCATTTGCTCTGAACCAATATGTGTTGCTCCAACAGGATCTCCAGCAGAGCTGTCTCCCAGTACTCTCTCCCCAGTTAATCACAGCCTGGGTAAGCTGGAAACTTGTTTTGGTGTGTGAGGACACACGCTCCTCTTTATGTATACAATTACACTAAAAATAAAAGCATAACTTAGCAAAGTCAGAGTTGTGTTGGAAGAATACTATTGGATTGGCTTCCAGATGATAAGTATTATAGACCTGGGTTAATAACTAGCTAACAACTACTGTACTTCTGCAACTGAATGTCTAGGAAAGAGTAAAACCTCTGAGTGATTCAGTTGAATATCTTATTTAACATTACCAAAGTGTTTTCAAGTTACAGAAAGGCAACAGGAGTTTCTCAATGTCTGGAACTCACAGTAGCTTAATTATTTTGTTAACCAAAATGCAAGTACTGAAGTACTCAAGCTATGCCCATTTTAGATCATCTCCTCTCTTCCCTTGTATGAAATACTGAATTTCATTCTTTTTTACTGAGGTAGGTAAAAATCACAGCAAGCAAGCAGAATAGTAATATGCATAAGCTTGAGGAGACAAGAGCTGTCATTCCTGGAAGAGAAGAAAAGTAGGGCAGATAGGGTTATTTTAGGCTCAAGTTCTGTGCTACTCTTATTGTTTATTGTTTTCAGACTTGCAGCCAGTCACTTATTCGGAACCAGCGTTTTGGTGTTCAATAGCATATTATGAGTTGAATCAAAGAGTGGGAGAAACCTTCCATGCATCACAGCCTTCCCTGACTGTAGATGGCTTTACAGATCCATCCAATTCCGAACGGTTTTGTCTAGGTTTGCTTTCCAACGTCAACAGAAACGCAACAGTGGAAATGACAAGGCGCCACATAGGTAAGGATCTGATCTTTACACTATTTTAACACTTGAGCCTAGCCATATGTATAATCAATGGATATTAAGATATTATAACCACAAAAATAACAAGAGAGTTAGGCAAAGCAGACTAAGATAATAAGAGAGAAAAAATGGAAGGTTTACCTTTATGCTAGGCTCACCTACAAAAACACCAAAAGAGGGGATCTTTAGACAAGATCTTTCCCTGTTCGTAGCCAGCTCTTAAATAGGTCTAGGACAGGTGACTTGCCTTCACCTGTGCTCCTCTGGCTGACTCATGGCTCGCCTCAGGTGATCAATCAGAGGTTCAGGCCATGACTCAGCAGTTCCCATACACCATGAAATCATTTCTGTAGTGGTCCAGGTAGGAAGAACACAGATCTGTTTTGGGATCATTTCACCCCTGTGTATCCAGCCTCCAAACTTCTCTCTCGAGGCTCGATCATGACATAATCAAGATTTTCTCCTTAATAGTTACAGAATACTGTTTTCCACATTGCAGCCTCTTCTTCAATAAATTCTATATTATTTTTATTGGATTCTTTCATTTAGCAGTGTTCACTAATTTTTTATTTTTTATTTTTTTACTGATACATTTTTAGTAGAACCTTTTGACTTTCTCCACTCCAAATCAGATACTTGTGTAATAAAATTGTAGATGTGGAGAAGCCCAGGATGTGCTTGTGATGATCAATTGTGGGAGAAAGCAGGCATGTAAGGTGCTCTCCCTTTTTTTAGAGTAGCTGATTTTTTATTTATACAAAAAGGAGAGTAGAGAGTAGCTTCTTCAAAGGAGCTGTTAATTACAAATTGATTTTGGGGGAAATCAATTGCATATTCCTCTTGCTTGTGCCAGAAATAACCCGCATAGTTTTTTTTTTTCACTCTGAGACAGAACAAGATTACAATTCAAAAGTGAGCAATAGGATTTCTGAGTGATTTCTTCTCAGAAATAGGTCTAAATGAAGTCCCATTATTTTTTTTTTGTCAAAGTGGTACAGAAAAAAGGGGTATGCAGTGGGTTGGACAATGGTATGGATGCATGCAAGAGGAGAGTCTGTCCAAGTGATATATTGCTCTGGTTTTTTTTCCCCATCGTCTTAACAGCAAGTGCCACTTCACATACAGCACTTCACATTGGTAGGCTAATTATGCTGAATCTAATCTTTTTATTTTAATTGTGATATTCATAGAATCATAGATTCATAGAAAGGTTTGAGTTGGAAGGGACCCTTAAGATCATCTAGTTCCAACCCCCCTGCTATAGGCAGGGACACCTCCCTCTAGACCAGGTTGCTCAAAGCCCCATCCAGCCTGGCCTGGAATGCATCCAGAGAGAAAGCACTCACAACCTCACTGGGCAACCTGTTCCTGTGTCTCACCACTCTCACAGTAAATAATTTCTTCCTAATATCTAGTCTAAATACAGCCTCTTCCAGTTTAAAGCCACTTCCTTTCATCCTGTCGCTACCTGCCCTTATAAAAAGTTCCTCCCCAGCTTTCCTGATGTGAGAAACCCTCAAAGTCAAAAATTACAGGTTAGGCAAAGATCTTAGTGATAGCAGCAAAGTTTATTTGTTATTGCAATAACAGGCGCACACCCCCTATTGGCAAGGGAGAAATTGTGCACCAGTCAGTGAAATTCATTCCATTATATACCCTAAACTCGACGCAGTTAATGCTCTCCTGGTGCTTGCTCATTGGTTGAGCATCGCAGGCTCACAATTTCCCCAACGCTGTTGCTATGATACATTTCCATATAAGGTCCATTACCAACCTGTTGATTTTTTTGTATGTTTTGTACTTTCCTATGGAGATAGGAGGGCAGTGTTTCCAAGAGTGAGCACGTTCGTTCTGTCCCATGCCAGGCTCTCTCTCCACCCTGCATATTTACCTTATGTTGTGCCTGTCTGAATTCTACCCAAGTCAGAATGCCCCAAATCTTAACTTTTTACTCTGTTCGGCAACTTTCTTAGTGGAAGAAAAACAACTTACATAACTGTTTCACAATAGGGTTATGAGTTCAGTAAAGGCCTGCACTACACACAGAAAATACTGGAAACTTCTACTGCAAAAACACAATCTACCTCTCACACTGTAGGCCCCCTTCAGATACTGGAAGGCCACTATAAGGTATCCCCATAGCTTTCTCCAGGCTGAAGAGCCCCAGCTCTCTCAGCCTGCTCTCATAGGGGAGGTGTTCCAGCCCTCTGATCATATTTGTGGCCCTCCTCTGGACCTTCTCCAACAACTCCATGTCTTTGTTTGTGTTGGAGGGCTCCAGAATTGGATGCAGTACTCCAGGTTGAGTCTTATGAGAGCAGAACAGAAGGGCAAAATCACCCCTTTTGACCTGCTAGTCACACTTCTCTTGATGCAACCCAGGATACAGTTGGCCTTCTGGGCTGCATGTGCACATTGTCGGCTCATGTTGAATCTTTCATCAATCAACACTTCCAAATCCTTCTCCTCAGGGCTGCTTTCAAGCCATTCTTTGCCCAGCCTGTATCTGTGCTTGAGATTGCCATGACCCAGATACAGGACCTTGCACTTGACCTTATTGAACTAAATAAGTTTCAGTGGTTTACAGGCCTGTTCAGCCCAGTTCCATGACTGATGGGGTGGGGGGACCCACAGACCCACACCATGGGGAAGGGGGAAAAGGGGAAAGGGTAGGGGGATGGGTCTAAAAACAAAACAGTGGCAATAGTTTGAAGAGGAAAGTTAATTTACTAAATATGATATCAGAATACAAGATAACATAATAGAATATAATTGGAATTGAGGCTAATAAATCAAATAAAATGAGTGAGAGAGTGTCCAAAAACCAAAGACCTTACTCAAATGCTGAAGGCGAGACAGCTAGAGAGCATGCACTTCTGAGACAAGCAGTAAGGATGAGAAAGGGAAAAGGGGGCATGTTGTGACCTGTGAAAAGTTTTGTCTTTCCCTCTGAATGCAAAATGGAAACATAACAGTGAAAAGTCCTCTGGGATATGTAGTTCTCTTTTGAGTCAGGTATACGTGTAACTATCAACAATCCATGGAACTGGAGCATTAACTCTTTAACTCCCAGTGCAATACATTATGTTATGATGTGGAATACCGATAACAAAAATCATAAAACCATGACAATAAGGTTGGCAAGTGCCCACCTCTCAAGTCTGTCCAGGTCCCGCTGGATGGCATCTCTTCCCTCTAGTGTGTCAATTGCACCACTCAGCTTGGTGTCATCTGCCAACTTGCTGAAGGTGCTCTCAATCCCACTGTCCATGTTGCCTTCAAAGATGTTAAATAACACTGGTCCCAACACTGATCCCTGAGAAATGCCACTCGTCACCGGTCTCCACTTGGACATTGAGCCTTTGACTGCAACTCTCTGAGTGTGACCATCTAGTCAATTCCTTATCCAGCGAGTGGTCCATCCATCAAATCCATTTTTCTCCAATTTGGCAACCAGGATGTTATGCAGGACAGCATCAAATGCTTTGCACAAGTCCAGGTAGGTGACGTCAGTTACTCTTCCTTTATCCACTGATGCTGTAACTCAACTCCATGAAAGGCCGCCACCAAGTTTGTCAGGCATGACTTGCCCTTGGTAAAGCCGTGTTGGTTACCATCAATCACCTCGTCTTTATTTTCCATGTGCCTTAGTTGGGTCTTCATGAGGATCTGCTCCATGATCTTGCCAGGCACAGAGGTGAAACTGATTGGCCTGTCGTTCCCTGGATCTTCTTTTTTCCCCTTCTTGAAAATGGGGATTATGTTTCCCCTTTTCCAGTAAGTGGGAACTTCACCAGACTGCCATGACCTTTCAAATATGATGCGAGTGAGAAAGTTATTTGCTGCTTAACTTAGATTTGGTTACAGTGCATTACCTGGCTAGAAAATTCTACATCACTCTAGACTAAAAATTATTCTGCTTTTACCTCAAGTATTGTGTGATGAAAAAGCAAGTTAATGGTATTCTGCTGCAGCTATCAGCCCAGCAGTATGCTCATCCAGATAATTGATTTCTATTTTTGTTGTAAAGAAAAAGCTTGGCCTTTTCTGAAGCAAAATATTCCCTTGTTTATTCATGTACCTGGGTCATATCGTAACAATAGTTCCTTTGAATTCTGTTCCAGGAAGGGGAGTGCGTCTCTATTACATTGGTGGAGAAGTTTTTGCTGAGTGCCTCAGTGATAGTGCAATTTTTGTTCAGAGCCCCAACTGTAATCAAAGATATGGCTGGCATCCAGCAACTGTCTGCAAAATCCCACCAGGTCAGTCACCCACAAAAAAATCTAGTAATATACTCACAGAATGCCATTTGCTTTCCTTTTGATACCTAGAAAGGGTTTATCTGTGGTTTTGGTCTTCTGTGTAGCAAACACAAGTAGTTAAGTGCACCTTTTTGACCTTTTCTTTGTAGGATGCAACCTAAAAATCTTTAATAACCAAGAATTTGCTGCTCTTCTGGCTCAGTCTGTGAATCAGGGTTTTGAAGCAGTTTATCAGCTTACCAGAATGTGTACCATAAGGATGAGTTTTGTTAAAGGATGGGGAGCTGAGTACAGGTAAGAAAAAAACTTTTCAATTTAGTCTTAACAATTTTTTCTTTCTCTAATACACTTTCTGTCTGGATTGAAATCTATACATAGAATCATAGAATCCTTAGATTTGGAAGGGTCCTTTAAAGCTCATCTAGTCCAACTCCCCTGCAATGAACAGGGACATCCACAGCTAGATCAGGTTGCCCAGAGCCTGATCCAGTCTTGCCTTTAAAGTCTCCAGGGACGGGGCATCCACCACATCTCTGGGCAAAATGTATACATACAATACTGCACTTTCTGTCTGTAAGTTGAACTCATATTTTCCTTTTCTCCCCTTCAGCTGTTGGACTCCTAAGTCATAAAGACAAGTAAACTAATTTTAGTATTGCACCAAAGTTCATTGAGCAATGAATTTCATCAGAGTTCCCTTACTTGCTTCGTCCTGCTTGTTGGCTTATTGTGGCAAAACCGCTGACAATATCTCAAAGTTTCAAAACTTGTTATACAATTACTGTTAAACCTACCATCATTTAGGTCTCTGTACTGTTCAGTGTGGAGTAAAATGAGTTTGTGGGGTTGTGGTGTGGGATGCAGTTGATGAGACCCAAGGGAAAGTGTTTGAGTGACTCTGAGTTCATTACACAGACTACAACAGCTTTTAGGGGATGGTAAATGCATTGGAACTTGTAGTGGAAAAAAACTTTGCAGCAGTAAGATATACATTTCTGTAGTAAAACTGCTACAAACAGTTGTTTGAGTGGGAAAAAAAAAAAAAAAAAAAAAAAAAAGGTCTTTTATCTGCTTTTAAATACAGTCCAATTATATTCTCTATTAGGAAAAACTAAAAACTGACATTTAGGATGATGCCTCTTTTTAATGTAGGATGGGAATTTGGAAAGAAGAGAAACTTTTAACTGAGCAATTTGAAAGGTTTCATTCTTTTGAAGAGCTGTAGATATGGTTTTAAACAACAACAAAATCCCTTAAATGTCCTTTGAAATTGTTTACTGAAAGAATAGAAGCTTGGTATATCAATACTGTATTGCAATACAGAACATTTTTTAAAGAAATCTTCATAATTTCTGAAGTTAAGATCATGGGGTTTGGGATCTTTTATCTGCTCTTGCAATACATCCATGTAAATATGAACTGTTGGTATGTGGGGGTGGATTCATGGCTAAACGAAGCCAATTTTGTAGATGCGTAGTTAGATGGAATGAAAAATTTAAGTGATGGAATAAATCGGTACCTCTTTGTTAGCAAGAGGTATGCAAGGAAAAATCTGGCTTCAGTTTAAAGACCAGTTGGACTTAGCTCCAAAGGAGAATGTGTATATTCACACATAAATACAACATTCAAATCAGAATAGAAGAAAGGCACAATCAGTCAGATTGCATGAAGACAACTTGAAGTGAATGGAATTAAGTGTTGGATTTCAGGTTAAAGCAGTGAGGAGGCTTTTGGTGAAGTTTCTGCTAAGGAGGTAGAATGTTGATTGTAGTTCATAAACCCTTCAGAGGTCATAGGGTTGAAAAAGCTCCAGAGGAAACTTCCAGAACAGCACAGAAACTGCTGATGGAGTGCTGAATGAGTTTCTGTACATCCTTGATAAAGATGGTGCTGTTCTTATAAAGAAAGTTAAGTTGAGGTAATTACAATAGATTGCAGATTCAGAGATACTCAGATGGGAAATCTGTGGGTAGGAGAAGCTGAGTTTCAGCTTTGAGATGGCTGCAAAGTGACTGTCACTATTTGATCTTTTTCCAGGGCTGTTGAACAGACCCAGTTATAACATATTAAAGAAGTATGTTGTAGAACATATCGTAGGGGAGATGACAGCAGTGGAGTAATGAACTTCCTTCTTTGGAAGAGAATTTGAGAGAAAATGTAATTACATTTCATGTGGTTTAGATTGTTGTTTTATTGGATCACCTTGTTTTGGCATAGACATTCAGGGCAGAGATAACAATGTTTTTTAGAGTGTTGAGAGAGGACAGACCCCAGCTGCTTTCTTCTAGAAAATGTCAAACCTCAGACAGCTTTTGAAATCTATCTTCTCACCGGCTTAATTTTTCTGTCTTCAGTTCCTCTGCTTGTATAAACATATTTCCATCAAGCAAAGGGTTCCTGTGCCGACTGTAAAAATGAAGGGGCTGGAATTGTGTCTGACTAATCTACTGCCTTTGAATTTTAATGCCTCCTCACTTTGGAAACTAGAATTACTGGAGAAAAACTAGTTTAGCAACAGCAGTCTCACCAATCTTGTTTGAGAAAACTCCCATTCCTCAAGTGAGTAGAGAAAAACAACAGGAGTTCTCAGGCAGAGTAGGTCTGTATGGGAACCATTGAAACATAGCCCAAACCACTGATTGACCACCTGGGGATAAGACATGGTCAGCCCTGAGAGCACAGGTGAAGGCAATTCACCTGTGCAACCAGAAGGGGTGAAGCCTGCCTCCACCTCTTTTAGACCTCATTTAAGGCCTGACTGCCAACAGGGAAGTATCTCTTTCTGGAGTTTTCTTCTTGGTGAAGTTTTGCCCTTATGAGTTTAGAATCTTCTCGTATGGGTTATTAGTCTACTTTCCTTCTTTTGTGCTAGTTCTTTTGTTGTCATACCTTTTCTGTAATGTTTTTCTCATTGTCCTGGCATGTCTAATGGCTACATTTGGCAAGCCATGCAAGTACTTATTTACTATGGATTACCTTAAAAATTGTGCATTGAATGGTCACTGGGACCCTGAATACACCAAAGGAGGAACTCCCAGGGGAAACTCCAGGATTCCTAGGTTCCCTGTGGCTAACTGCCACTTAGATTATTTAAGAATGGTGTAAGGAGTGCTCGAAGTCCATCCTGTCATTTTTTTTGTATGTTTTGTACTTTCCTATGGAGATAGGAGGGCAATGTTTCCAAGAGTGAGCGTGTTGGTTCTGTCCTATGCTAGGCTCTTCCTACCCTGCGTATTTACCTTATGTTATGCTTGTTTCAATTCTATCCAAGTCAAAATGCCCCCAATCTTAACTTTACTCTGTTCAGCAACTTTCTTTGCAGAAAAAAAAACAACTTATATAACTGTTTCACAAGAGGGTTATAAATACAGTAGAGGCCTACGCTACATACAGAAAATACTGGAAGCTTCTACTAAAAAAACACAATCTACCTCTCATGATGGGGTCCTGTAAGGGACAATGGTCCCATTATTATTAAATCCCCTTTAAAAATGGCTAACTTCATGAATAAATTAGGGCAAAACTTTTGGACAACCAAGGAAAGAATAGTAGCTGTATCTGCCATGGCATGGCCACTGCTTCTCACCATTACTGCATATCGTTCCTTGGAAGAAGTCTTAAAAGATGAAAATGAGCTTTTGAAAGCTCGTATTAGACAACTGGAAAATACAGTTTCATCTTTGACAGGGAAAACTGCCCCATGTTTAAATGGATCTTCCCCTTTGAAATTAACACCTATATTACCAGAAGGGAAAGAAGACTTAGATCAGCAGGATCCTTGGGTCCTAGTTGAACCCAAGAACAAAAAGAAGGCCAAGCAAACTAAAGCCAGCTAGAAGATCTGGGAACCTCAGACCCTCTACAAATAAGGCCAGTAATAACTCAGAAGACAATGAAAATCCAAGACAGACCAGCAGGGTTGGCATCCGAAGAGTGGCCCCCTGCCACATACCACATTACATGTAATGGCGCGCTCATACACAGCCGCCAAGCTTATGGATATGTTATAACAATTTAAGCACAGACCGTGAGAGAGCATACCATCTTGGCTGTGGAGATTATGGGTCATGGGGGCCGAAAGTGTAATAATTAATGGGCCCGAGATTTCTAAACTGGCACAGTATAACCACACACTGTGTTATGATGCAGTTTTTCTGACAATATTTAGTATGATTTCCTTGTTCATTTATCCTGACTGTTGCTCTAGAAATCTAGTTCTTACAATTACCATGGCATTCTACTGTTGAACCACACCACCTGTGCAGAGCCGAGCATTTCTGTTTCTTTTTTCTTTTAGTAGTCAATTAAATTCTAGCATAATTATGCTTGAAAACTCTTAAAAAGTGCAGATATCAGCTGTGTTCAGCTGTCTGACATAAACACATAAATGGGTGCAAAATTTTCAGTTTTGACTTATTTTTTAGCAGTAAGGCATTTAGTATGGCACATACAACATTTGCTTCAGTTATCTTACTCTGTAGGGCAGAATGTTATAGAGTCATTAAGGCTGAAGAAGACTTCTAAGATCACCAACCCCAACCCTGTCTCGCTCCAATTTATAGGAGGGAGAGGAGGTTCTTTTATTATCTATATACCCGGCGTGAGATTAAGAAGCAACGGTTCAAATGTTGGTCCGACCAGTTTATTACAAATCTTAATCAGGGAAATGGGGAAGGGGAGGACGGACACTATTATGATTAGGGTAATGGGGAAGGGAAGGAGGGCGATAGAAAAGATAGGAAAGAAGAGGCAAGGAGTCTTTATAGGCAGCAAGAGGAACATAGTCACCACCATGGACCCAGTGAGGTTCATGGTTCAGTCTTTGATCTTCAGTAGTGGTGGGTCGTCAGGCAGAGTTGTTCTGTTGACAACGACGACGACGCGCGATGACGACCATGGTGATGATGGCCCCTTTTCAATAGTTTCAGAGTGGTCAAGTCAGCTGTCTTTAGAGTGACAGCTCAAATCCAAAGTGGTTGAGTCAGCTCTCCTTTGAGTGGCAGCTTCTGGCTTTGGGATCTCAGCAGAAACTCCTTTGTTCCCATCTTCCGGGCCTTGCCAGCAGATAAGAAGGAGCAGGGATGCCCATCTGCATCCTGTTTTTCACAGAACACGATGGTATCGTTCCCCAATTTTCCCACACCTAGCTGGAGCTGTTTAGCCGCAGGCCAGATCTTCTGCCAGTAAACACTCCTGAGCACTCTCATCCGCTCTTCTACAGAGCAAGCAGCTCTGAAGGAAGGGGCTTTCAAATGTTCCCAAAGCAATATCCATTGTCACACGGTTAGCACCCATTAGTTGCCTCCTCAACAAATCAATCAGAGTCTTATCACAAGAAATACCTCAGGAAGCAAGCTTTGAGTCAAAAAAACAAAGAAGGATTCTCACAAACCTGTCCCCACCATGCACACTAACCATGTCCCCCAATTGCCACGTATCCTCTGTTCTTGAACATCTCTAGGGACAGTGACTCCACCACTTCCCTGGGCAGCCTGTTCCAATGCTTCTTGATATATTGTAAAAAAAATGTTACTTTTATAGTTATTATTTGCTTTTGTGAGACCCCACCTGGAGTACTGTGTTCATTTCTGGAGCCCCCAACATGAGAAGGACATAGAGTTGTTGGAGCAGGTCCACAGGAGGGCCACAAAGATAATCAGAGGGTTGGAGCACCTCCCCTACGTGAACGGGCTGGGAGCTGGGACTCTTCAGCCTGGAGAAGAGAAGGCTCTGAGGAGACCTTATAGCAGCCTTCCAGTATCTGAAGGGGGCCTACAGGAAAGATGGGGAGGAACTTTTTATAAGGGCAGGTAGCTATGGGACAAGGGGAAATGGCTTTAAACTGGAAGAGGCTGTATTTAGACTAGATATTAGGAAGAAATTATTTACTGTGAGAGTGGTGGGACACAGGAACAGGTTGCCCAGTGAGGTTGTGAGTGCCTCCTCTCTGGATGCATTCCAGGCCAGGCTGGATGGGGCTTTGAGCAACCTGGCCTATAGCAGGGGGGTTGTATCTAGATGATCTTAAAGGTCCCTTTCAACCTAAGCCATTCTATGATTCCATGATTCTGTGATTTATTGTTTCTTATAGATATGGGTTGAGTATTTTTTTCCTAAGACTGTTTGATGAACCATTAGTACATTTATAGTAATGGTTGCAATTTTTTATCTTTGTGTAGTAGGAATAGATGAACCATCATATGAGGGATTGTGTGATGGAGAACCTCATGGTAGGCAAAGCTGCTTTCTGATCCTCCTGTTCCAACTAATTTTTCAGGCGGCAAACAGTAACAAGCACTCCTTGCTGGATTGAACTTCATCTGAATGGACCTCTACAATGGTTGGACAAAGTATTGACTCAGATGGGCTCCCCTTCAGTACGCTGCTCCAGCATGTCATAGAACTCCTTCCTCCACTACCAGTGGGCTAAATACCAAGGCCCATCAACAGACTTCATAGAACAGCTCATCTGTCGTATTATTTGTGTGTGGTTCCCATGAACTGTTTACTGTACAAAAAGGTGGGGTTTTAAAAAAAAAAAAAACAAAACAACAAAACAGCACTTGAGGTCTTATCAATTAAAGCACCTTGTGGATTCTGTTTTCTATACTCAGTTACTAGATTAAAATTTAATGTATAAAAATATCTTTTTCAGAAAGAAGAAGGGGCAGTTCTAAAGATTCTTAATGTTGTTTTTATTGGGCATATAATTGAGTGTCCTAATGGTTTATCATTAACATGAATAGCTAAGTATATATACAGGTTATGTGTCATGATCTCAGATGTTGCAGTATTGTGCTCTTCTTCATTTCAGTTCCCGTAAATAGATGTTTGGTTTGTTTTTTGATTGGGGCAAATCTCTCATCAAATTCCAAGACTCGACTCCTTTATTCTTTTATATTTTTATATAAGCAGATTTTCAAGTTGTCCTAAACATAAAGATAAGACTTTCCTTTTAAAAAATAAAAGCTTAACTTTTTGCTTCTGCCTTAAAAAAAAAGAAAATCCCTCTGTTGGAAGGAAAAGAAATGTCTGAGATTTATCTGAAATCTCAAGACAATTTATATATGCTTAATGGGGGCTGAAAGGAATCCATACTGTAAATTTTGAGTATCCATCACACTAGGAATCTACTTTTCCCTGCCCATCTGAGTTGATGCACCTGTTGCCAGCAATATTACTGTCAGTCATCTATTAGGGACTTTTTTGTGCCTTGGATCACTGAAATCACTGTTTATCTCATGGAATGAGAATTGACCATAGCATTGGATACTAGATTAAATACAGAAGGTTATTGGCTTACCCCTTACATCTGCATGCTTTTATTAAACAGATGTCACTAAAAATCTTTTATTTAGCTTTTGGAGCCAAACACGTTGAAAAATCCTTTCCCAGGGTAAACTAGAATCTTTTGCATAGGTTTTAAATAGATGCAACTTCTTAACATATTTCAGTAACAGAACTTAAATCGCTGATCTGAGTGGCTTTGTACAGCTTACTGACATACCACATTGTACACATTCATTATGTCATAATGGGCCTTATTATTGAAAGTAGTTGCTTCTGCAAAGCTACTAGGATAGTGGTTGCTGAGTTATGACCAGCAAAAAAAGGACTTTGAGGTTCTTCACCACAGTGCATGCTATTGTGAACCCTTGGACACTACAGCTGCACCATATCTGTAGAATATATTTCAGAATATTTTTAATAAGTCTGTGTTGGGGAGGGGTTGAGAAACTGTATAGAAGGGTTATTCTGACTTGAAAAATACACGTCTTACTAACAATCTTGTGATCTAGCTGTCTGTCATTCTTCTGTTATCGTGGCAGTAGCAGGATTGCCTTTGTACTTTCTCATTGTTACACCCATTACACTAGCACTATACTTGGTAAGTACAGCTAGTGATTATTTAGCTTGGTGGACAAAACATGGCCAGTGTTAGACCATTTAATCAGTTGACTGAATTGAGGATAGTCATGGATATTTTTATGCTGTAATGACTAGAGCATAGAAGCAAAAAATACCAAAACATCAAGCCTTGAGAAAGTGGACCAGCTGCCTTTTAAAAGTTGGCAAAGCAGTTAACAGATTGTGCTAGTTTTGCCAGTAGATTAATGTATTGGTAGAACTTGTGAACGTAAGAAATAAGCTTAATGTGTGTTGCATTTGCCTAATATGTGAATACACTAATAAAAGTTTTAATTCTCACATTGGTTGCTTTGTTATTAATCGCTGTATATATTTTCAGTTGAAGGATACTGAATTAAGGAAAGTAAGTTAGGTTAAAAGTTATGTGCCTTCATGAGGTGCTGAATCTGCAGCTGCAGGTTTTATCTTGCTAAGCCAGGTTCTCGCTGCCCATAACAGACACTTTTCTACAGACTTAGACAATTAGTGCAGACAGAGGGTCTCCTGTTTTTTCCAAATAAGATTGTTAGCTCCCCTATCTCTGGAATGTGTGACAGCAGACTAGGACGGTAAACCACAAATTAACAAAGCAGCAGCAGGTTGGTGAATGGAATTGAGGCCGATGAGATGACCAACCAGAGCCAGCCAAGCGTCCTCCAACCTGACCCAGGTCAAAGAAAAATTAGACAACGGCCTTCATTAGAAAGAGCACCAAACAACCACCAAGAGATATGCATGTGATAAAGAACCGAGACTTGAGGCCGGGGGGGGGGGGGAAGTCAGTCATTTTGGGGAGTCATTCATTGTAATAACCCAGCCTTTTCCTTGACATCTAATGCATATGTAAGTAGCTTGCTCTTTAAGTATGTGCCTTTCTTGCTCTCTGACATGCAGGCTAGGTGGGAATACCCCCCCTGCATCCAGCATGTGTGCAGCACTGATTAAACATACCTACTTTATACCTACTCTGTGGTCATAGAATTTGATTTCTGCATGTCAGTTTGGTGAGCCAGGCAGGAGACTCTGCTGACTGTGGGGCTGGTTGGCCCAGGGGACGCTTCTGGCATTCCCTGAGAGGTTCTCGGAGAAGACTCCCTGAGGCTGACACATCCACCATGGAACAGAGAAAGAGCCCCGGCTGCAGACCAGGTATGTTGGGAACAGGGAACCCGTAAGTCGTGAGGAAACATCCTAAGTGGGGTATGAAGGAGAGTATGCTCCCTCCCTGAGGAATGTGAGCTCATGGGTAAGGCTGTGTAAGATATTATTCTGTTAACTTCTGTGTCTCAAAGCTTGCTGGGAACACAGATGGACTTGTTCAAGTCCAGACAAGTCCCGAGCAAGGATTGTGAAATCCTTTGTCTTAAGGACACAGATGGACAAGTCCAGGCAAGCCCTAGGCAAAGGTTGTGAGATCCTTTGTCTGGGGGGACGCAGATGGGCAAGGCCAGGGGCAACGAGAGCGAGGTGAACTGCAGCTAAATAGCTGTGAAGTGCTCCTTTGTGTGGACCTATCTCAGGATGATGGCCATCTCAGGGGGTACTCAATGACTCTTGCTGGAGGCCCATCCTGGTCATGTAGGCAGGAGAACAAGGAGGATAAAAGAGGAACTGAAAACCACGAGGGTAGAGGGATTCCTGAAGATTGAGGTAACTCCTGCATACTGTTGAACTCTCCTATGCCTACTGCCTGAGCGCTGCTGCAGCTTCAAGGATTGGCTCCTCGACTTCCTCGTCTACTTGCCTGCTGCCCAAGGCTGGCCACGCTGCTGCTCCCTGTCCCCCTGCTGCGTCTGCCTGGGACCTTCAAACGCCGTGCAACGGGACCGCTGCTGGATCCTGCTGGTGACTATCCCCGCTTTACGCAACTCCTGCTTCTTTTCCATCTTTTCTATCACCCTCCTTCCCTTCCCCGTCTCCCTGATTAGGTTTGGTAATAAACTCGATGGAACAACATATGAACTGTTGTTTCTTAATCTCACACCGGGTATACAGATATTAAAAGAACCTCATCTCCCTCCTATAAATTGGAGCGAGACAGGTTGCCAGCTGGGGTGGGATAGCTCCTTGGGGCAGCTCCCACTAGGGCCCATAGGTTCAAGGAAACCTATAGGAACTGATGGATCGGTAATTAGGACTCGTGTGAGCCCGGGAGGGCGTTTGGAGCGAATGTCCAAATAGTTTTTATGTTCTTTGTTCTTTTCTCTGACCAGTTACAGGAATTATGGTGGTAATTGCTGTAATGTCCTTGTGCTACAAAGACGCTTCTTGAAGGATCCCACTCCTTGTATAAATAACTGTGTCAGTCATTGTCACTGTCTGTCTTTGTAGTTGTAAAACTTTGTGTTGTAAAAATGTTACTTGTGAAATTCCATTCCCTGATTAAAATACTCTTGTCTTGCTGGGGGACATTGGTTAAGACTCTTGCATAGGGAATTCAGTGTTCCCGTGCCCTGGGAAAGTAGGTGAACTCCATTACCCAGCAAAACACAAGGGATTTTTACCCAGTACCTAAGACCAGCCGGGATAAACAACTGTTATGGGACAAGTGGTGTCAAAAGAAACTCTGGAAAAGAGCATTCTGGGTTGTATTTTGGCTCACTTGAGAAACGTCACAAATGAGCCAGGGGGAACACTGAATAAGAAACCGAGAATATAAATGAAGTAACAGGACCAGTTTTTATAATTGAGTGTTCTAATTATGAGACTTAAGTACTGAGTGTTTGTGGAAACTGAAGAACTGTATTGTTTGATTTGTGGGTTTTGAAGGGAATGGGACAAACTGTTTTGATGGTATAAGAAAGTGTAATTGTTAGTGGTATACGGAAGCATAATTGAGGATATGTGGAAGTGTAATTGAGGGTATGAATAGTGGAATAGTGTAAAAAGGCAAAAGGGTTAGAGAAAAAGTGAGTTTATCTGCACTGGCATGTGAGCAACCTCTCCGCACCACCCCTCGGTGAGCAGAACTCTCCGAGAGAGATGGGTCCAGAGACTGCTGCAGTAAACAGCGTCACTTGCGAAGGGGGGGGGGGGGGGCGGCTAGCTGGAAGCATTGGAAGTGAGGATAGCCTTCATCTGCAGAGATCTAGGAAACATGAAATCCCAGTGTTAGCACTGGAAGCCTCCAGAAGGGAGGAAGTGAAACTGAAATATAACGTTAGTTTCTGTAATGATGAGAGTTTGGAAAGTGAAAAAAGTTTGGGAAAGACACAGGCTGAGGAAGGCAAAGATGAGCACGGTGTAACAGGGATGTCAGGACTGAAAAGAGGTGAGCAATATGGAAGAACAACAGCAGCTGCTACTGCGGCACTAGAGCAGGGAGCTAGGACTCAGAGATCCCCTCAGAAAGAGGTAGGGGTGGGCCTGGAAGAGCCCAGGGAGGGCTCCACCCCTGCTGGACCAAAATCAGTGTGCAAACTGCAGGAAAATGGGACACTGGTAGAGAAATCGTACCAAGCTGAGAGAGAGAAAACTCTGATCACAAAAGCGGAATTATAGGAACCTGGGAAGTTTACCCTAGCAGATCCACTGGTTAAATTACAGCTAGGGAAGCAGGATAAAGACGTTTATTTTCTGGTGGATACGGGTGCCTCTTACTACCCATAGATGATTTTTGTAACAGTAGTAGGAGCTACTGGCCAACAAGAAAAAGCTTACCTTTTGGGATCAATTAAATACAGTCTGGGAGAACAACTAGGAATTCATAAATTCTTGTACACGCCAGGTTCTCCAAAGACGTTACTCAGTCAAGACTAATTAGAACAAATAGATGCAGAGATTAAATTCAATAAAACTGGAGCTAAGGGTCAAACAATATCAACTGATTAAAAATTTTAAGTATGGCTTTAACACAAATTGGGAAAAACAATGCCGTACCCCCAAAAGTTACCGAAATCTTAAATTGGGTATACTTAGGGGTGTAAGTTTTGGATACCTGGCAAAGCCAAAAATACAGCCCCAATAGAGATTACATTAAAAGCAGGAGCTAGCCTAGTCATGGTAAAGTAGTGCCCTTTGAGGATATGAGATTGCAGAAAGAGAAAAGAAATAACTGATAACTTTTTTGAGTTTGGATTACTAATTGAATGTGAATCCAAATACAATACCCCAGTCTTGATGATGAAAAATCAGATAGCAAGTGCTATAGTTTGGTACAAGATTTGAGGGCAAGTAATAGAATTGTTGAATGCATACACTCAGTGGTGGTAAATCCATACACTTTATTAACTGAGTTAAGGAATGAGTAGGTGGAGTTTACCTTCTGGATTTGAAGGATCCCTTTTCCTGCCCGGTTTGGCCAAAGGAAGCCTAAGGTTATTTGCCTTTGAATAGGAAAACCCCAAGATGGGGTGAATCTGAACAGTGTTACCCAGGGTTGTGAGAACAGCTCAATGATTTTTGAGAACTGGTCAACTCATGAGCCTGAGACTTGGGTTCCTCCATCCCAGGGTGGAACTTTACTGCAGTACGTGGATGCCACAGCAACAAAAGAGGACTGTGTGCAATGGACTGTGAATTTGCTGAATTCTCTTGGTTTAAATAATTGTCAAGTTTCTCAACAGAAAGAGCAAATAACTCAGCAGCGAGTGATGTATTTGGGATATGAGATTACAGCTGGACTTTGAACCTTAAGGACTGCCAGGAAAGAAGCCATCTGCCAAAGCCAAGAACCTCAAACTGCCAAGGAACTCTACCTTGCTAGGAATGACAGGATGGTGCCGACTGTGGATACACAGCTATGGACTATTGGTAAAGCCTCTTTATGCTCTTTTGAAATTGTATCCAAAGAATATTATATGGAATTTGGGGGCAAGGAGGGTATTCCATCATCTGAAACAAGAACTCATGAAGGCCTCTGCTTTGGGACTACCAGACACGACTGAACCCTTCTGGTTGTTCTCACATGAAAAAAAAGGAATAGCCTTGGGAGTGAAAGGTGAGACAGGCCCCACAAGTGAAAGTAAAAAGGCAAGAAGACTTCACAGTGACTGAGAATAAGGGGGGTGAAGGGGAATAGTTAGAGATAGTTTATAGAAGCAGGAATGTAGAGCTTGTTAGAAAATAAGGGATGGCAGACACTGTGTCTGGGATAGTGAGGGGGATGAAGGCCATAAAGATAAGGGTTTAAGAACAGCCCGAGGACATTTGGCAGGTGTTGTAGGCGGGAGGCAATGCAACAGGCAGGGAGGTGATTACATGTCCACAGGGCAAGAAGAAAATGGTTTGGGGGGATGCCCCCCCCCCGAAAGGCCAGGAGTTTACAGTGAAAACAGTCAGAAGCCTTTGCGAGGAAAACA